CGAATTGTTGGCCCCTACGCCCGGATGCAGAATCGGTGTGGACACGTGACATGGTGCAGAGAACTGCGAGAGCTGCAATCAGTTCTATCGGTACGCATGAAACGACGAACGTACCACCTCGTGCCGACTGGCGTCCGCATGGGTCCTTGTGATAGGTACCCAACTTGAGCTTGTTTTTCCTCCTGTGACGGTGCATTGTGGGTAGATCTGGGTGAACGGACAAGAGAGTGTGGGTGTGGGTGTGGGTGTGTGGGTGTAGGTGTGTGGGTGGGTAGGCCAATGTCTGGCCTGCTAGCTGATAGACCATCTGTGCGATTATCTGATTCCGACCGCGATCCCTATTGGCTTCCCCCCTTTCCTCAAACCAATGATTATCCTGTCCTACCTTAGCGCGCTCAACACGATGGGATACGAGAACTGGGAAATCCTTCAGGGTAAACATTGGCCAAGGGACATGGAGGGAGTCAACAGCCCCAAGAATTAAGCACCTCCGAGCCCACAGTGGCCATCATTCAGCCAGCTAAAAATCTCGGAAGAAAAAAAAGCACATAAGGGGTGCTGTGAGTGGGTAGATGTTGGAAACGGTTTCTGGTTGGCTTATTTGTTCCCCCCCTTTTTTTTCCTTCATTGGTAAATGTGTGTCCACTGTGCTGGTCACTCGTGGTTTGATTTGGAGAGCATATGTTTTGTGCTTATCATTTTTCTCTTTCCTTTTGGATTAAAACTTGAGTGTATAGCTTGAAAATAGCATTGGAGGGAGTTGGTTCTGTGTATGCCCTTACGGTGCTCTCTGAAAATCTGTGACAAGCGATGCTGAGAAAGCTAGCGCTGTGTATCGGCCCGAGGATCATCGGAAATCATTCGTTGAGAGGTTCGGTTTAAAGGGAATGCAGCTGCGGGGCCTAACGGGGAGGGAGGACCAATATATTACCGCTCCTCGGTGTCACTGCCAGAGTATATCAAGATCGCGGAGGCCAATCACAGTTCCATATTTACACCCCCCTTTAGTTACTATGAATCACATGGTGGTGGTCAGAACCTTCCAATAATCGGCAGTGCTCCTGCGGGTTAGTGCCAATGCGTGGTTCCCCTGAAGCTTGCAGAAGCAACAGACGCGCACGTGGACATGGGTGAATTTATGTTTGATCCTGCTTGAATCGTGGCTGAGCAGCTCTCTCATAGTGTGCAGTGTTCGCAAGCGGCCAGTCCGGCCAGGCTTGAGGTCCAGGGCGGCCGGCCTGGGCTTCTTTGGTGACCGGCCGGGCCGGACTGTAGGCCATAGTCCGGCTTTACTAGCCTACCTGACCGGGCCTGGCCGGACTGTAGATATCTGCAGGCTTTTAGATATCTGCAGGCTTTTGGGTATCTGTGGGCATCTTCAGACATCTGCAGGCATCTTCTAACATCTGTAGGCATCGTCAGATATTAGCGGTGCACAGACGCAATATTTACTGGTCAGGTGGCATATGCCAAAAGCCTACCGGTGCCCCCAGGCATCCATGTAGCCTATAGGATTCACCAAAACCTGACCTACAAAACCCAGGTCAGTTTCACTTTGACCTTGCCGGGCCGGACTGTGCATCTGCAGGCTATCTGCAGGCCGGCCTGGCCGCCTGCGAACGCTGATAGTGTGCTTGCCCCCATCCTATAATCGATCGGCATGAACCTCTAAAGAACTCTCCGGACGTGTATGCCTCTGCTACCTACCCGAAGATAACTCCTTACCTTTATAGGCACGAGGGTGTGTGGAGAGAGATGATCCGGCTTTACCAGCTACGGACGAAGCGATATAAAGGCGGGAAATGCACGACTGCCAAGCTCTGCTTGCACCTAACCCAATACCCTAACGATCATGAGGATAGCCTCTAGTAACCTCCGCTAACAACCTCCTCAGAACTTTCCTGCTTTAAACTACCCCCGAAGTGATGGCATAATCCCAATACCTATATTAAATGGCTGAGGGATACCTTTCACGGCGGCGTTCCTCTCTTTGAGCAATGTCTCGGAACTAACTTGGCTTATGCTCCCCATATTTCGCTCTTCTCGATAGGTACTTCTCCACTCTCTAGAGCTGCCGATATGGCCACTACCTTGGCAATGCTTTCTCCGACTGTGAAAAACGCCTAACGCTGCCGTTACTTGAGGCAGATAATAGGATCTAAAACTTCATTCCTGGGGACTATGCATATCCACAAAAACTAAACCTAGGGGGGGCTCCTACCCAGTTCATTCCTTCCATTTGTTTGTCCAGTTTTCCGAATCGATCTACCGGTAACCAGAGAAAAATCACGAAAAATCACTCATACTTTCCACTAAGGTCCCTGAAGTAGAAAAGAGAGTTTAGGTGGAGTAAAGAGGAGAATTCAATAAGGCACTTTTGCGGGGGAGGATATGATCGTTTGGGTGAGCAAGTGTTAACCGTTTTCTTGACTTGATTGACACCCTTCCAGGGCCTTCCTATCGCCAAAGTAGATGACCACTATATACTATAGAAAATCCAACCGACCAGATATCCACCTAGTGGTTACCTTCCTTCCAATCCATACCATTCCTCGTCCTCATTCCAATCTAACCCACAACCAGATATCCATCTGATGGCTACATTCTTTCCAATCCATACCATTCCTCGTATCTCCTCACATTCGTCTAGACTGCTTCTTGCATGCGGTTATCAGGAAGTTCCTAACAATCCCAGCGATATCACAACAGTCCCAGTGGAGAAATATGGGGGAACGGGGATAGAGGACATAACGCATGATTCTCACGATCCCTGTCCTGATATGTGGGGACTACGTGCACCCGCCGTAGAAATTTGAATAATCGAACAGTTCCATATGAAGTCCAAAATTTCCTTCCATGGAAAGGGGGAGGACAACAAAAAACAAAAAAGCAGACCGTTTCGCACTTCCGGAGCGGGGGGGGAAAAAAAGGCACAAATTTCTTGACCACACCAAGAGAGGAAAGTCCCACGACTAGATAGTGCGGTTCAATTATCCAAGTTTCCATCATACGAGTACTGTCCATAACGCCACGGATAAACCAGTCAGACCAGCGGGGTTTCTTTCATTGGTAGAATCAACCCGACGACACCCGGGCAGAACTAACATGTAAACCCAAACGTAGTTAGCGCATAAGTTATAGACATATGATATGCGGGTTGCCCCACAAAGGGACGATGACCTCACACTAAACATACAACCCTTCCAGGACAAGGGAATAATACACAGTTTATGAAAGAGCGACAAGCCGGTTTCGTTACAAATTATGGAACCTCAATCATTCGAACTTATAAAAGGGAGAAGTCTCCATGATGGGCTCACCACTCGGGCCAAAGGAAAAGTGCCGTAAAAAACTCGAATAATTGGCCCATGTGCTATATGCTATGTCGTTGGACTTTCCTCTCTAAGTATGGTGAACAAATCTTTTTTTTTTTTTCTGTCTCGGGGGGGGGGGAGAAGGGACTGTGTTTTTGCTGTTGTTTCCCCCTCCCCCCCTCTCCAGAAAAGGGAATTTCGGACTTCATAGCACGTGGGCCAACTATTCGAGATTTTACGGTGCTTGTATGACAGGCTTGACCTCAGTGCATTCGATATCACTCGACTGCCCAGTCTGCAGGTTGTTGGAAATAGCAGTTGATGGCCGCACTTGGTGCGGGATGTTGCTCATACATGAAGGCGTCAGTAGCATATATCTCTACCCCCGGAAGACGCGTAAGCCATGAAAACTTTTCTCATCCCTGTCTTTTCTTCCCTTCTGTTCTCTCTTGCGAGTGGACAACTTCCTGTACTTTACCTCTCTCCTCAAGTTCTCTCTGAGTCATCTTTAAGCAATCAATCATGGTCTTTCTCTTCACCTGAGTAAAAACCTTCTATCTCCACTTGCATGATTCTACTTCACTGCGTAAACCCCCACTACCGACCACCACCCCCATATCAATCACCCTCCAACACAGGTGTTGGTGTGTTCCTCCCTCCCCAAAACGGGCAGGAAAAAGAGCCCGCCTATATATGGTTCGGGGAAATATTGAGTGCCGTAATGTCCCCTAGACCCTTGAGAACGGTATCCCCAAAGCCCAAGTTCATATCCCAAACCTCCCACCCCCTGTATTTTCATCCATGAGCTGGCCGATGTGGCGGAAAGTAGATTTTTGGGGGGTTTCTGGTCATGTTTTGTGGGTTTTTATCCCGTAGAAATTTCTGTTTGGGCGGTCCAACGGGAGGAAGGAACACTTCCTATCGGTATATATCATACACGGATTACAAGGAGCATTTCACTAGCGGAGGTATGATAACATCATCACATCATATCATACAATGGGCATGCATCGGCGGGGCAACACCGACTTGCCCCAATCATGGACATCAATCGAACTCACCCTCCATGATCGAGGAGAACCTACGAGACACCCTATCGCATCAAGCGAACGTGAGTGAAAAAAAAAAGGGGGGGGGGGAGGAAACCTCCCGTGTAGAAAACCGATAATTGAATTAATAAACCAAATTACAAAAGCCAAACGGAGAAATAGCGGACGGAACTAAAAGCGGAAAAGAGATCGGGTATCTCACAGCAGAGAAAACAAAACCCAGACGCCGGACAGCGGTAGACGCTTTCCCCGGTTACTACGATACGTGTTGCGATGAATAGAAAAGTGAGTAAGTTAGAGAATTGATGAAAATGATGAGGTCAGGTAAAGTGAAAACTCCGACACCGTTTAGGCCCCTGGATGGGAAGGCATAGGAGAGGCAAAGGAGAGTGAAGTAAAGTAGAAATAAAAAGAAAAAAGAAAGAGCAAGCAAAAACTATATTTCAGAAAAAAACGAGATGCTTTTTTTTTCTTTTTTCTTTTTCCTTTTTTTTTTTAATAGTGGGTGTTGTGTTTCATTCGAAGAAATAAGCAAGGACGAAAGAATGAAAAAAGAACGCAATAAAAAAAGGAGAACCCAAAGGTTAAGGATAAAAAAGTGCAAAACCAAAAGTTATAGAACGCTCAAACATTTCACTCACTCCCTCCCACTCCCACTCCCACTCCTCCTCCCACTAGCCCTCCTCCTCTGCATCCTCTCAATCCTGGCATTCCCCTCATCCTCACTAACCAAGCGAATAGTGCTCTCCGGAATCCTCGGCATCCCTGTCACCTCCGTGATCCGAGTCTTTTCTGGCGTCGTGCGGGGACTAGCATCGGTAATCGGTGTCAGCCGGTTAACCCCTCCCAACCCGCCCAACTCCTCCCTCTCCCTCCCGGATCGGGCACCCGCGCGGCTCTCGCTCCTCAACTGCGGCCGATTAACAAGGACCTGCATTTTTAAGACCACGCTCTCAAGCTCGTACCCCTCCCCGTACTCATTGCCCCGGCGAATAACCATGGGGAAGAGAATGGCCTTCACGGTCGCACCCTCGGCCTCCAGCTCCGCATCTGTGGCAGGGTCGGAGCCCCGGTTCGCCATGCGGGAGGAAAGGAAGGGGACTGTATTATTCACATCGCCGTTCTCGTCGTATGTGGGCGCTGGCGGGCGGAGCATCACGTATTCTGCGCGCTGGGTGCGCATGTCGATTGCTAGGGCTACCGCAGAAGTTACGATGGAGGCTAGGCTCGAGTGGGCGAGCTGGGTATATTGTTGCGGGGGCGGGAGGAGAGTTGAGAGTTGGTTTAGGATTGTGGCTGTGACGGAATCGGTGTCTGCGTTGCGCTTTGGGGGGAAGGCGGGGCGCTGAGAGAGGAGGGTTAGGGTTGTTGCACGCCATTGATGAACGGCAGCGGGGGCACCTAAAGATGCCATTAGTACTTTTGCTATGGTGGGGAAAAATTGGACGGTGCACACATACCAACGTCTGTGAGGATCTTCTCCAAAGAGAGCAATTTCCTCCTTTCCTCGGCCTCCAAGCCGAACAAATATCTTGTAAAGACCAACTCCCAAACCATTCTCATGACAATGGCCATAAACACCTCCGGCCTCCTCTTCTCTTCTTTCAACATCCTCCTAACACCCCTATCATCCAACATGACCGCCTCGATTCGATCCCTGACGGTCTCATCTGTGATCCTGTGAACATGAACACACTTCTTACCGGTAGAGAAGGACGAAAACTGCTTGCAGAAGATCTTGACCGACTGAAAAATATTCTTGCAGGAAGAATTGAAGTACGCAATGTCCTTGGTGTCGACATACTTGTTTGTCTGTCGTGCGGAGACCTTGTTCTGCAACTTTCGCACTTCCTCCCTCGCCCGTTCCAGTTCCACGCGCAGGCGTTCAAGCTCGGCGTCTTTCTCGGATAACTCGGTGCGGATGATGGATTCCATGCCCGCCTGCATCTCCGTGAAGTTCCGCTGGAGCTCCGAATGCTCGCGTGAGAGTTTGAGCATGGCCTCCTGCTTCTTGTCGTACTTGGCCGTGAGCGCGGCGTAGCTCAACTTGTAGCTCGCCGAGAGGGTAGTATTCATCTGGGTCAAGGAGTCATTCGTCTGGCTTAACCTCGTGACTTCCGTCCTATACCACTCAATCTTCTTTTGTAACTCTTCAATCTGACTATCCTTCTCTTCCAGCAGCGCTTTCCTCTCCTCAAGGTCAAGTTTTAGCGCTTTCGCCTCACCCTTCCCACGGGTGATAGCTTCGCTGAGGCTCTTCTCGACATTCGCCTTATCGTGCGTAAGGTTTGTATTCTCAGTTGCTAGTGACTGAAGTCTGTTTTCTAGATCTACAATTTGCATACTCTGTCTTCGGCGGATGCTCGGTGGTCGTGTAGGACTCTTTGGCTCGCCGTCCTTGTCGCCCCAGGCTTCATAGTACTCTGCTGAGCTGGTGATATCCCTAGCTTTCCCCCTATCTGGAGTGCCATACCGCTCTCCGCCGAATATCACATGTTCGCCAGAGGTGCGTGGACTGTCAATTTGACTCCCCACCCGCCGTAGCGAGGGGGAAATAGTCCTCCGGCGCTCGCCGCGCTTGAGTATATCCATTGGGTCTTCGCCTGGGATCTTGGTCCGCTGTAAACCGGAACTGCGGGACTTGCGTAGCTCGTGGCTGGTTATTTGTCCGGTGAGGCGAGCGATGAGGTCTTCTGTTGAAATGAACCTGCGTTCTCGGGCGCTGGCGGTACGAGTCGGCGTTGGCGGGTGGACTTCTGTAGGGACCTTTCGGACTTCGGGGATTGTGGGGAGCTTCTTGTTGGCGAATGGTTTGGTGGGTGTGTCGGGGGCTTGTTCCTCCTCTTTTCTATTATCCTGATTCTCCGGAGAATATGGTTTCTCAAATGGCTTTGTGGAAATCTTATACTCCTTTTCTTGTGCGGTGGTGTGTTTATCCTTAGTAATAAACGGATCTGAAATTGCTCTATCCCTTCCAGCGCCAGTACCAGCAGTAACGGTGACAGTCGTAGTGCTCTCGCTAGGACCTCCAAAAAGGCTCTGATAAGCACCTCCTACTGCCTCTTCTTTGCTTCTCTCAGGACTGCCCTCCCCCTCACAGACCTCGGGTAACTCGTCCCTAAAGAGTACGGAGTCGCGTTCCCTCGTCTCGCTGATAACCGGAGAAGGAGCTCTACTATCCTCAATAAAGCTTCCAATACTAAGTAGCGAGTCAAGCGATGGCTGTGTGTGAATGTTCGCTCGCGACTCTCTTTCTCTCAGTGAGATGGGGCCCGGCCTCGAAACGCTGATTTCGATACTATCCCGACGGGGGTGCGACTCGTTGGGTATCTTCCTAACGGAGACTTGGAAGTCGGGATCTGCTTCTATCGAGACGTCGAGGTTTTCAGCTGATGATGAGGAACTAACGGACGTTTGTTGTTCGGGCTCGGGTTCTAGCGTAGGTTTGGGTTCTAGTTCAGGTGTGTGCGCGGGTGTAGGGATTTCCTTAATTGAGACTTCAGCCTCAGACGATGTTTGTTTCGATGCTTGAACTTGTGACTGTGGTGATGGGGGGATGGCAGCATGTAATTGTTGAGTATCCCCTGCTTCGGGTAGCTGGGACGTATATAATAACTGTTGTGAAAACGTAGAGGGAGATGTATGTAAAAACAACGGTTTAATAGATGGTAGCGGTTCAAATGGCGGTAAAAGTCTTGGTGAGTGACTTGTTGTGACGGCAAATATTGGTTGACGTTCAGCGGCGATAGGTTTGGTTGTAGGGGTTTTAACAGGCGCTTGGGTCTGAGATTCGATTGGCTGATTCTTGCAGTAGTCAGATTGGATGATTGTCTCCTCGGCGTTCTCAGTAAATGTTGCGATGGGTTCTTCGGAAGTTGTAAATACTGTGGCGGCTTCCTCGGAATGGACTGGCTCTTTTTGACTCTCTTCTGCAGGATACTCTGTTTCCGATACAATAGTCTAATAAGGCACACAAAAAGTTAGAAAAATAACTACTCTACTATTTAAATATTTGTACATGATGGCTTCACCTTATCCTGAGACTCCTCCCCCCTATCCTCTTCCCCAATTCCTATTCAACCAACCGTTAGCGTTTGAATTGCGACGCAATCCGATATAGTGGGGCCCAACCCTCTTTCCCCCCCCATCCAGACTGTTCTGGCGAAGACTCAGCCGTGTTCGGTCGCGAAGGGCCCTGTTGCCCAGCAGACTGCGCCAAGTCATCTACGCCAATCTCAGAATTGGCCACCACGTCAGGGTCGGCCGGAGGCCAGGTCTGGGACCGTGTCAGCTCTCCATCACCAATATCCTCATCTCCCGGCTCGCCGCTAGCCTCTTGTGTTCTGGAAGAACTAAAACTTCGAAGGTTACGAACTTCTGCGAGAACACCAGGGGTTTGAAGAACGGAACCCAGCTGCACTCCGCCGGTGTCGCTCACAGTGGATGGGGTGGCGACATCGGCCTGAGTAGAAGGCCATCTGGAGGGTAGCCCGGGACGCCCGACAAGAATATCCGGAAGGCCAGGAAGCTTCTTTCCTTCGATGGAGGCGGACTGGCGACGAACGTTAGGCGGGGAGAAAGGGGCGTTATCAGACTTGGGGGCTTGAGGAGATGACGGTGGGCTCGAAGAGAGGGCTGGCAAATCGGGAACGGCAACTTTCATTGGTGCCTCAAGGGATTCACTCAAGCCCGAGATCGGCTCAGAAGCAGCTAGGGATGAAACCCGTTCCTCTACCGGTCTGCTCAACACTCCCGACAACTCTTCTTCCTTAACTCGAGCCTCGGACTCCATGGGCTCAATTTGCAACTGACGGCTATCCACCCTACACCAAAGTCAGCATGCACACATTTACGTAAATCTAAAGGGAAACCTACACCACATGCTCTTTTTCAATATCTTGAGTGCCCCCTTCGACACCCCGATTCACAGTCACCACTGAGGAGCTCGTGGAGCCTGCCGCTTCCCCACCCACCTTCTTCTTCTTTTTCTTCTTTTTCTTCTTTTTCTCCTCAGTTCCAGGAGTTGGTAGTTCTTGGACTTCGGCCTCAGGTTCAATTGGCTCCTCGTGCTTGTGTTCACCCATTGTATTTGCGGTTGTTTGGGGACCGCGAGTTTCCTTGGCTCCAAGGGTAGAAATTTCAGGCTTAGTTGCGGGGTACGAGGGATCGGGGTGCGGTCTCGCTTCGCTGGCAAGTGGGGTTGCGTCAGGAACAGGTGTGGTATGATCGCCAAATAATTTCGAGTCGGGCTGGACGGCTACCCGGGTTTCCTCCGTTCGCTCAGCATCAGCCAACCGAGCAGAATCATCAGTTGCTTCCGTGATTTGTTCCAACGACTCATCACCCGCCATAGACGAGGACTCAACTATAATCGGTTAGCGTACGAATAACTATAAAGAATGTACAAGAAGTTTACGTACGTTTACTTTCCTCCTTGGGTTTTTTTGCTTTCTTCTTATTTTTCCTAGCTGGAGTCGATAGCGCAGCAAGTCCTCCCGAGCCAGACTCAGCCGACGAGCGCCTGGCTAAGCCAAGATTAAGATTAGCCGGTTTATGATCTCTGTGCATAGTGGGTGATCCATCAGGCGAAATTATTTTTTCCTCCACTTCTAGCTCATTCTCAGTTAGTTTTAGTTGTGCAGACGATCCGGTGGTAGTATGCTCTACGAGTGATTCCGGAACACCAGGGAACTGCGATCCAGAGGGGGTATTCAAGCTAGAGACACTAGAACTTCTTCTAGACTTCTTCCCCCGATTCTTTGACCCCTTTCTCACCAGTGTGCCCTCCTCGTCGCCAATAGTGGTAACAGACTGAATTGATTGTTCGGTCATTGTGCGCTCCAGGCTGGCACCGCCGATATCTGGGGCGACATCCTCTCGAACTGGTGGAAGTGGTTCCTCTTGAGCGGGCTCCTCGGTTATTTCTTCACGCGATTGCTTCTGATTCTTCTTCTTCTTCCTATTTTTCCTCTTATTCTTACCTGGGGTTGCTGGTGTAGGTGGCGTGTTTGGCGTGGGCGGCTCAGTGACCTCCCTCGCGAGTTCCATTTCCTGCTCCCTAACTCTGTGCGGGACATTCTACATAACTGTTAGTAAACATCCAAGAACAATACCAGAATACCAGTCACATACCTCTTGTTGTGTAACAGGCGCGGCAAACGACGATGATCGGGAGCGAGGAAAGAACGCGGGCAAGTCAAAGACTTCCGGTTCAGGTAGCCCTCTATTAAGATGATAGGGTGAAGGCGAACGCCCAATCTCGGCAGCAGCACTGAGCATATCTATTGAACTTTGGGGCTGAACTCCGAGGCCTTGGGCAGTAGAAGGCAAAGTAGTAGGTGCCGGAAATGGCCTTGGCTGCGGGGTGTACATCGGTGGGGCTGGTGGCGTAGTCGACCCCTCAGGAACAGGAAGTACGCCTTCGAGAGCCACAACCTCCTCGAGTATCTGCTCGGTCTCAACAGTGAGCTGGATACCACCTTCAGGGCCCTCTTCCTCCGGCAACTGATGCGGAGACCAGGGACCGCCCGCAGGAAGAGTGGGCAATTGCTCCAGAACTCGAGAAAAATCACGATCAGCTGGAAGTTGATAAGGGGAACCCGGATCACTAGGAGGTAATTCAGGCAAGTCCTTGAGGTCCGCCCAAGCCGGATGCTCGCTCTCGGGAACATGTTGAGCGAGAATAGTTTCGAGACCTTCGACGAAAGACGAGGCATCTTGCACCTCTGGCTGCTCGGGCTGAATAACAGGCGAAAGCGGATTGCTCTCCGGGAGCGCAGGAAGATTCTCAGGCAAAGATGAAGTATCATTCCTTGGAAGCCCAGGCAAGCTATCAGGTAACGGCCGCAGAACAATCGGACTTGTGGGGTCGCTCTCTAGAGGGTCCGCCAACGGACTCCAATCCTCTTCTTGCTCTTCAACAACCGGTGAGAGAGGCGCACTGGGCGGCAGCTCCGGCAAGTCATCAGGCAATGCAAACATTGCAACCGGACTAGAAGGATCACTCCTCGGCAGTTCGGGCAAGTCATCTGGAATCGGCTGCATCGCGACCGGGGAAGCAGGATCGCTCTCGGGAAGAGCGGGTAATTCTTCTGGGTTTGCATATTCGGGGAACTTGGATTCGATGGGGGGTTCAGGGCCTGAAAGGAAAGAATCGAGGTCCTCGACGACGGGTGCTGCACGAATAAACCTCTCGGGTTGGATGACAGGTGACAGCGGTGGACTATTAGGCAATACGGGAATGTCCTGTAAGATGGCAGGTAATTGGAACGGGGATGAAGATTCACTTGCGGGTTGGGCAGGTAGGGGAAACGGTGAAATAGAACGGCTGCTCGGTCGGCTGGCTGGTAAAGCGGGGAGATCGCCTATTGCGTGAAAATTCACAAAGGGTGAGTAGTTTTCTGTGCTGGGCAGAGAAGATAAATGAGAGACATCCTGCACAGGCTCAAGGGCGAAGGGTGTATTGGGATCGCTCAATGGTAAAGGAACGTGTTCTGGCGAAAAATAGTCGTTAAGAGGCAAGCCCTCTGGTATGGTAGAAAGTAGGTATGGTGAATCAGGATTACTATTAGGTAGTGCCGGATACGATTCATAAATATTATCGTCCGGGCCAGGGTAAATATAAGGAGATTGAATAGGAGAAGGATTATCGCGGTCGTCGTAAATGTCTGGGGGTTCGGCGGGATGTTTTGGTGTTTCACAACCGTCGTCCTGTTAACGTCTCTGCTCAGTATAAGAAATCTTAGCACAGGAGAAAGAACTCAAGCGATTTAAACCTGTTTTCTGTCCCGGGGGTTGATTGTTGTCTTCACCTTTAAACTTTCTGTCCTCCTGAGTTGTGGCAAACGGCTTTCCATTCTGACTTCTGTGTCGTCAACGTCTCCACTTTGGTGCTGCTCCGGAAGTGAGTCAATGGATTCAGAAGAAGCTGCTGCTAAATCACCAGTCTTCTTCTTTCGGGCAAGCCCTTTCCGGCCAGAAGATGTTGAGGGCTGTGGGATCCTGGTTTCCGGGCCCTGGAGCTCCCGGTCCTCATTGACAACATCGGGTGTAGGAAGCGGAATCTGTTCCGGAGTGCGCGCATCGGCACGGTTGATACCTGCTACCTGGTCAAGACTCATCCCAATGTCCCTAGAATTCCGCCAACTATTACGACCCTCGGAAAGTTCCGGGATGGGTGACGGCAGCCCCCTCTCATCTAGACTCCCTCTTCCAGCCAACTCTGCAAGTTCAGCACTTCTCCCCCTCCTCAGACCGCCACGCGGAACTGGAATCGCCCTCCTCTTCTTCTCGCCCACTTGGGTCCCGGCTTGGTCGGATATTTCGACAGTCTCTTTGCTCGCCTCCCCTCCCCGGACACTGTCATTGGATACCTCCTCTTGAGATCCCGGGAACGTCGCCATGCGTGCTTCAACATGATCTGATTGACCGGTATCAAAAGAGGATCTGCCAAGATCTTGCGAGGTGGGACTCTCATTATGGATAGATGCCGATGCAGCACTGGCAGAATCTGTGGCATGATGGTCCGATTTGCCTCCGCCAAACACTCCAGCGAAGGAACGGAATGATCTGCCGGAGGAGGTAGTAGGGCGCGTGTGGGTTTCTCCCTCGTCAGACCCTGAGCGGGTTGGCAGCGGTGGGCTTTTGGTAAGTGCAGCTTCAACCATAGCCTTCTGCGCTACACCTGCGACGCTAGGTCTGGATGGTGAAGAGGCAGGAGTTGCCTGCTTACTGCCCAACCTACCGAGGAGGCCCCCCCACCGAGACTTTCCGGACTCGGGAGAACCCCCCTCGCCAGAGGATCTCTCCTTCTCTTCCTTCTTCTCTTTCTTCTCCCTCGCCTTCTCTTCTTTCTTCTCCTTCTTTTCTCTCTCAATACGCTCCTTCTTTTCTTTCTTACTCTCAGTACCAGACCCGGCAGCAAGCCTCTCAGTCTCTTCCAACATTTGAGAATCATCGCTATGATATGTGACACTGCTCTTTCTCGATCTACGTCCCGGTATCCATCCATCCATGATAGAAGCTGGAGGCGTAGTATGAGGCGTATTGGGCGACTGATCAAGGCTAACACGACGTTCGGCTTCCCCCGGAACACCCTGCGGATGAGACTTATCGCCACCACCTCCAAATCTCTTCATGCTCGAGAGCACATTAGCTGTAAGAGACATCTTGCGGGCGGTATCCGTAGATCTCCTCTCAAGAGTAGGAGGTGAAGACTCCAAAGAAACACCACCAGAGCCGGGGGTCATAGAATCAGCTCGCGAATCTGGGCTCATCGGGTCGGGAGCCTTCGACCGCCCAAACAACGACCCAGCCCTCTGCCTTCTGGACTTAGATCGAGAACCAGTCCTCAAGACCTCGGAAATTCTCGACATACTCCTGCTTCTGTCATTCTTTGTCTCTTCCTCCTCGACGGAGCGGGGGTCAATTGGTGTAGGAGGTTTGGTAGCCTCAGGAGTCGCTGTGATCGCTTCACCTAAAACGAGCCCAGGATTGAATCCCGCGTCCTCAGCCGCTGCCATCGCGATTGCCGTGAATTCTGCATTCTCCTGTTTCTTCTCTTCGGTAGATCTCCGGCTTGGTGGCGTGGGAGTAACAGAGCGTGATCCTTCCCGGCTACCTTGAAGGGTTTGTCGCGAAACCGGAGTGTTACGAGTAGTGGCGGTAGGGGTATTATCCAGAGTTCCCCCCGTAGGAGGAGTCGCAAATTCTGATTCTGAAGCCGAAGTAACGTCGGCAGAGTAGCCGGATTTAGTTCCTAGGAGACAATTAGAAGGCTCTTTACTATGCAGACCACAAATACATACTTGAAGAGTCATATCCATGCATTTGACTACCAACACTACTAGATGATGTATTTCGCTGGAACGGGAGTCCCCCGGGCATATTCTGCACGCCATCTAAAACCCCTTAGTCCTATGTGGTCCAATCGGCAATCATGAGCACTCACCAATACCCGCAATAAGCTCATCAGACCTAGCCCTTGCCTCGGAAGAATAAAATGGAGCACGCTCATCAGCAGTAGGTCTAGTCTTCGTTGGCCTCGCCTTCTCAGTCGCACTTCTCTTAAGCCTATGACCCTCTGGGAACGCACGCCAGCGCTCCGGACCCTCAGCTCGGGGCTCCGAAGAGGATGAAGTCCCCATTCCTTCAACAATGGATGGGGGATCGACGCGCCCCGTCTGACTTCTCTTGAGCCTCTGACCTCCGGGCAGCTGTGGGATTACAGGAACTGTTGCAGACTGCATTTGATGATGCTCTGAAGATCCGGGAACTGAAGCAGTGACCTCGCTCGACCGGGACTCAGAGGAATAAGTAGTCGCTCTCTCCTCAACGAAAGCGCTCCGAGAATCAACAATAGGATGTCGAGCATCGACACGCTCAGTCTGGCTTCTCTTAAATCTAGGTCCTTCGGGCACTGGCGGGGCACCAGGAATATTAGGAAGCTGGATTTTGTGCTCAAAGGGGCCCGAAGCGACGCCAGATCTTGACTCGGAAGTATAGGATGTTGGTCTCTCATCAACGAGAGCATGTCGAGTATCGGCACGCTCAGTCTGGGTTCTATTAAGCCTATGCCCTTCGGGCATTGGTGGCATTCCTCGGCCTGTCCGAACCTGTGCTTGGCTCTCCGCGGAGCCAACGAAAGTAGTTGTAGTGTCGCTAGATGTAGGCTCAGAAGAGTAGGATGTTGAACGCTGGGCGAGAACTTCTCTATATTCGCTATGCGTGGTTCCGCGCTCTTCGGTGACTGTGGTGATAGGTTGAGACTGGTATTGAGTATCTGTAGCCCCTGGAACGTCTGTAATAGAAGGATCTGGTCGAGACCTAAACTCAGAAAAAACTCCTGATCTCTCCTCATGAGACCGTCGAGGCTCCGCGCGCTCAGTATTGCTTCTCCGAAGGCGACGGCTTTCGGGGGCTGGAGCGCCTTGCCTGTGATCGAGAGCTTCCCCTGAGGATCTGGCATCAGATATATATGATCTAGGCCTCTCATCAACACCGTGTTGGGGTCCGACTCGCTCAGTCTGGCTTCTCCTAAGTCTATGGCCCTCCGGCGCTGCAGACTGGCTTTCAGTCGGGGATGGAACATTTGTGTCAAAAGTAGTTCGAGACCTGCGTTCATATGTGCTCCTTTGCAGCTGCACATCCTCCGGCATTGCGAGACGATACACCACCGAATCGGTAGATGATGAAGCAGAGACATCACGCGAGCTCCTCTTCTCCGACCCACTACTCCTTTTCCCAACTTCTGGCAACGGAGGCCCGAAGACCATATCCTGGGCATCCGAGGTTGTGACTCTCGACTCAGAGCGAGATTCAGATGAGTAGGGCACAGGCCTCTCGTCGCCAGTCTGGCGTGACCTACGTTTAGACGAGCGAGTCCTCCTGAATTCAAATCCCTCCGGCAGTGGAGGCCCGTAATAGGCGGTGCCCCGAGATGTTGATCCAGTGCTCTGAGATTCAGACCGAGACTCAGACTCGGAGTAAGAATGGGGCCCGGAAACAGGAAGCGACGACGATGGTTCCCTGGCGAGTCCTCTCGAACTCCTCCCCTCAAAGCCAACCCCAAAAACAAAGTCGTGAGGAAGTGGCGGCCCATATGCGACCACCTCGGGTGTGACCTGCTCCGACCCCGATCTGGACAAATTGTAAGATTCAGATGATCCCTCAAATTTGCTTTGTTCCGCGTAGCTTCTATGCAATTCATAACCACCTTCCGCAGCTTGGGCGACAGTCGCTTGAGAAGAAGTCTTCGAATCGGCAGAGCGGAAATAAGCTCTATCATCAATCGAGGAAGTAGATTTGCTCTCCCCAAATGAATAGCCTTGGGGCAATGGTGGGCCATAAAGGGTATTCTGTTGCCGCGTTTCCACCGCTTCAAGGCGAGCCGCCACCTCAACCTCTTGCAGGAATTGCTCCGGTGTTGACTCGTAATAAGATGCATTCTCCCCCAAAACTTCAGTCTTGCTCTCCTCATGAGTAGACACTACCGCCTCAGACTTAGATATCTCAAAAGCAGGGCCATCGGGTAATTCAGGTCCGTAAATCGTATCTATAACAACCAATCAGTGAAGGCATCCTTGGATGATATGATCAAAAGGCCACGTACCATTCTCAGACGTAACTTCTTCCGACTTTGATATATCAACAGATGATAATACGCCCCCGCCATACATCTCAGTGTTCTTCCACCCTTTTCCTTCGACCGGCTCGACAACTTCCTCAACTGTAGCTTGCTTTCCTTTTCTAGACTCCAAAGCCGCATCAAAAGCCAAGTTCTCCCAAGAGCCATCCCGGGATACCTCAGCTGTGTTGTCCAAGGAAACTTCGGCTGTGTTAATAACATACATCGAAGACGCACCCGAGACATCTTCATCTATGGAGAAATTAGCTTTAAGAATATCCCCAAGATCACAAGGCATCGTACCATAAGCCAGCGGCGGCTTCGAGTAATCCTTCAACTCAACCTCTGTGAACTCTGCGGGTGAGTGGAATCGACCTTCTTCCGAGCTCTCCGAATCGGGGCCCCTAGGGGATTTGAAGTTATCCGGAAGCGGAGGCCCATGAGCCACGGGCGGGGACCGGTCAAAATACACAGCCTCAGCAACTGGCATCGATGGGCCAGGTCTGGCAGAGGAATAATCTGTCGGCAGCTCAGGTCCGTAGAAACCTTCATGCTGTGCACTTCGGAACTGATAACCTTCCGGGAGCATGGGGCCATAATAGACGTTCCTCTGGCGACCACGCCGCTCTTCTGTGGCCCCTTGCGACTCCTCGGTAGTGCCGATAGCGATGACTGTCTCAGCGGTTTTTACCGCATTATTTGGCTGCGGGGCGACAGGAATACCGGCAAATGGCGTTCCGAGGGCAATGTCCTTATCCAGGGTGCTAAAGCCGACCTCGGGGCTGCCCGGTGGAGGGCTTGCAACAATTACTTCGGGAGACCCAATTTCAAGTCCCTGCCCCTCCAGCTCCTGTGCCCCAGATTGCTCCTTCGAAGACTCCCCTTCCTTCTCCTTTCCAGTCGGCGGGAAACTATTAGGATCAACATGGACCAACAATGGAGCCTTGGGAGTTCCAGGCGGAGGAGTTGGTGCAGTCTGCACAAGCATCGGAACACCTCCGGGGAACGTCCAGCTACGCTCAACAAACTCGACCGGTCTTGTGGGTAATTCTGCAAAGCTAACACTCCTCCTGCTCTTGCTAGGCTTCTCATCCAAACCGGCACTCTTCCGTATCATCTCGACTTGCTCCCTTCGTGCCTTCTCTCGTTCGGTTTCACGCTCCCTCGACCGCTCCCGGTTCCTGCTCACTTCGCGCTCACGATAGTTAGGATCCGCCTTACGTTTGCGCCGACGAGCTTCACGAGCCTCTTTCTGCCGAGCGGCAAGGACAGCCATCTGGGCTTTGAGTTCAGCGGCCTTCGCCTCAAGATCAATGCGTTCTTGCTCCGCACGCTCTGCCGCGAGACGGCGATCAACTTCCATTTGGATGAGGCGCTCCTCTTCGGCATTTCGTTCGTGCTCGAGTTGGATTTCTTGCTCCATCACTTGGAATTCTTCCGCGTCTCTACGCTTTGCCTCGACTGCCGCAATTGTGCGCTTGTGTTCTTCAACCTGGAGCTCATAGTCACGTGTCCCCTCCTCTTCCCGCTTTCGTTGATCTTCCTTAACCTTCTCAGCTTCGATCTGCGCCTGCAGTGTGCGAGTCATCTCCTCCTCCATATTCAGTCTGCGCTCCTCTTCCTGCTGCTTCTGGAGCTTCGCCCTCAATTTCTCGGCTTCGGCTTGGGCATGCAGCTGTCTTGCTATCTCCTCCTCCATCCTTTTCTTCTCACGGTGTTCCGCCAGTCGCTTCTCATCCTCTTCTACCAACCGCTTCCTCTGAAGATCCTTCTCGGCTTCAACTTGGATTTGGACTCTGCGTTTCTCCTCCTCTTCGGCCTGCCTCGCTCTTTGAAATTCGTACTGGGCTCTCTGAAGTGCTTGTTCTCTCAATTGCTTCGATCGCTCTCTCTGCATGAACATTCTCCTCTCAAACTCCACCTCTTCAAGTCCCTTCATCTCATAAAGAACGGACATTTGTCCTCTCTCTTCCGCAGCTCTTACTTCTCTCTCCCGCTCCCTCTCCAAAGCGACTTGCTTCTCCAATTGTATCCTCCTCTCATCCTCCTCTCTCTTGAGCTGTAACGCCATCATGGCCTTCTGCTCCTCCTCCAGCTTAAGGGCACGGGCTTTTTCCCGCTCCATCTCCATTCGGCGCCGGTATTCGGTGGCCCGCTCCTGCTCTTCTCTCCGGGAGCGTTCCTCTTTAGCGAGACGCTCTTTGCGGGCAATATCTTCTTGCCTCGCCTGTTCGATACGTCGAATAGTCTCGTTTTCACGCTCCCGAGCCAGGGTGAGCTGAATTCGTTGAAGTTCGAGCGCCTCTTCGTCACGACGCTTTTCTTGAAGCTCGAGATCAAGCTGGATTCGTCGCTCCTCCTGTGATTTGCGGAGCCGCTCAGCCTCCTGCCTCTCATAAATTAATTGCCCCGTTTCTCTAGCCTCCTTCTTAGCCACCTCCCTTCTCACGCGCTCCTCATACATCATCCTCTCGTGCTGCTCTTTCTGAACACGGGAAACCTCAAACGCGCGATGCTCTTCCCCTTTCATCCGCTCCTCCGGCCCCTCTTTCCCAAACATATGCCCCACCTCAACGGCACCTCCGTGTTCTTCCTGTCTCCATATCCCCCTCCGCTCCTCTTCAGTTTTATGCGCTTTCTCTCTCTCTGACAAACCACCAACGATTCCGGCAGCAACAGCCCCGGCCAAACCGGCGACTTCCGAACGTGACTGAGACTCGACACCCGCGGATACCTGCCGCGCAGCAGATGTAGAAATGGACTCCGACTTATTAAAAGTCACGCTACTTGAATGAGTAGTGTGGTGATGTGCAAACGTACTATTAACCGACGTGCTAGCGTTTACTGGTGCTGGTTGTATCGGTACCGGGATTGGCCTCACCAAACTCTCTCCGTGCTCCCCCTTGATGATACCCCTCTCCACCACTACCGTCCCGGCCACTTTTGGTAGTGGTGGCTGGCCTAAAAAAGGCTTTGATTGCTGCTGACGCCATAACTCTTTGTAATAACTGTCTGCTTCGCGGAATTTCTGCTGTTGTTCGATTGTGTAAGAGGCGTCGCTAGGGATATAGTTTGTGGTTTCGAACCTTAAGTCGGCCTCCGTAGCCTATATTACCCAATCAGCTCATTCCCCCCAATATCAGCAATCTCTTCTTCTCTCTCCGCCCCGGTCGATAACGTTGAAATCTGCGTACCTTGCTTACATCCTTGCTGGATTCCGATACATCCAGAACAGTCCTCGTGACTCCGGTCTTTGCATTTTCACTTATAATCCTCCCGTCTCTAGTGAAGAAAAGATCCGATTCCGAGCTCCCGCGTCCTATCTTCTTCCTCATTCTTGAATCTCTACTTCTACTCCTACTCCTCTCCGATCTCCGCGAATTGCTCCTACCAAAAATACTGAGGAGCCCACCACCGGAACCAGAAGTGGTGGTTGTTGCAGTCTTGCGATGGTGATGACTCTTGTGCTTCGAGTGACGCGAATCAGCAGACTCCCAACTATCTGCAGAGCTAGCCCTCTTGCGTCCAGAAACCGTTTCCGATCGATGGGGGGACCTCCCTTCTCGCACAACCGTAGTAGTTGTTACAGAGGCAGACCTCTTCGGGGAATGATCCCGTCCCATAAAAGCCTCCTTCCGGCCTCTCTCACCCCCCGGATATACCCTACTTTCGGTAGTCGTTTTCGAAACGACAGCCCCCTCGCGAGCCCCACCACCACTACTCCCCGACGTAACCTTCGTGACCTCGGCCTGGAAAACATACGGCTTTCGTTGCTTCTCTTTTCCTCCAGCTTTGCCTTCATACCAGCTACCACCACTGCTAGAGCTAAGACGCGAACTGACTGATCCAGACCGTGACGCGCGAGTATCACCACTGAAGAAGCCACCGTGACGAGTCCCGCCGGTGGTCCACGAAGCCGATGAAGAACGTCCATAATGACTAGCTGAGTGTTTCCTGGAGCGTCCGCCGCGACTAGCCCAGGCACCAGCAACACCCATCGCACCGCCAACAAGACCACTACTAGAACCCTTAGGCCATTTCCGGGATCCACCAGAGTCGCGTCCGGAGATCCCGATCGCTGCGCTACCAGAAGAATGCTTTGACGGAGACTGATGATGGTGACCCGACTGTGGGGTACCGTAATCACTCCAGCTCTTTCTGCGCTTACCAATGCCGAAGACGCTCGAAATTCTGCTTCCAGTGGATCTGAACGATTCCGCAATTGACCCAGCGTACGACTTGCCACTCGTTACAGAGAACGAATCGGTTGATCTCCTGGACTTCTTGTGTTGAGAGCCGTAGATGAGGCCGGAATAATTGGATTCATTGTCTGAAGACGACGACGAGGAGGAGGAGGAGGGGGAGGATGACGATGACGATGACGATGATGACGATGACCCAGTGACTCTGGCCTTCCTCCTATCACGCATAGCATAGGGATCAGAGCCGCCGCCCACTATATGGCGGCCATGACGATGACTCGAACTATAGGTAGTAGATGACGAGTATTTCGACCTCCGGCTTTGTTTCCTGCCCTTGGATCCCTTCTTTAACCCAAAGAAGTACGAGAACATACCCGTGTTCTTGCTCGATTCATAAGAACTCGGTGAAGACGAGTACAAAACACCATATTGGAGTCCCGACTCCTCCCCGCCGGACGAAGTCTCGGTCGGGAACTGGATTAATCCCGGAAGTGAAGTCTTGCTAGAAGACCCGGAATGGTGATAACTTTCGGAATGCTTGCCCTTGCCTTTGTGATCGGATATACCGAGCAGCCCAGTATAGAACGACGCCGAGGTGTCCGAGTGGTGCTTCCGTCCATTGGCTCCACTAGTACCCGCAGTGTAATGGTATGGGTGAGCATGGCCATCGGAGTCATATCCCGGGTTGTAGTAAAGACTACTTTCCTTGGCCTTGGCCAAATCACCACCTCTTAACACACCGCTGGAGTGTTTACGAGTCCTCGTGACAGTATGGCGTTCGCCCCTGCGGTGACGGGAATCAGACTCTCCCGACACAGAACCGGCGGTGCTCCCGGTAACTGTTCTCCACATGCTCTTCGCAAAATCGCCAGGATTGGACAGCATGCTGCTGCTGCTATCACGGCGCCTATGGTAAGAATGGGACGAGTACTTGGATTCTCTTTTGTCTTGCCTCCTCAGCGCTCTTTGCTCTCTTCGAATGTTCCTCTGCAATCTTTTCCTCTTTCGGGCATTGTCCGATAGACCCGAGCCGCTGTCCGAGGAGCTGCTGCTGCTGCTGCTGCTAGTACTGCTGGAGGAAGCACTAGAACCACCCCTCCCAGATCGCGCAAACCATCCAAACAACACCCTCCTAGAGGTTTTCTTCCTCCTCACGCGCCAGCCCTTCTTGGGGTGCCAGCGTTGTCCATAGTGATGTTTTCTCGGCGCATCCGCATAGGTGGTCCCCGGGGTGAAACAGTCTCGACAAATGCCCATGATTTCGGAATAGAGCTCGAAGTTTCCGACCGTCTCGCGCTCTTCCGCCTTGATGTTTTCCCAAATCTTTCTAAAGGACTGACGGAGGGGAGGTGGGGAGCCACTGTGGCCGTGTGTGGCGTGTAAGTGAGGAATGTGAAGGACACCTCCGGCGGCGGAAGCGCCCGTAAGTCCGGGTATTCCAGATGCATGGTGCGATGTGCTGGAGCTAGATGCAGCCTGGTGGGAGGCCGAATGGTTGGTGTTGCTTTGGTAGTACGATGCGGACCCCCCTTCATGGGTCGTGTAAGATCCACTGGTTGTCGCGGCAGTCGTTGTGGATGTCGGCTTGCCTCCTGGATAATAAGGGGAGGCCTGTGGGACTGGCACCGGGTTGTAGTAACTGCTGTTGCTACCGACTCCCACCGCCGCGGTCGGTTTTCCTGGTGAGACTCCCGCGGACGCGGTCCCTCCAGTCGCGGTCGTATATGACGAATTTCCCTGTAAGTTAGTAGACTGGGAAGAGCCATACATACCTACTCCTCCGCCAGTATCCGTTCCACAATACGTCGACGCGTCCTGGCCTCCTCCATATGCCGATGATAGGGGATTCGTTGGCGTTCCATAATAACCGGCCGCCTCTCCCTTGCTCTGTGTTCCTCCGTTGACCCGCTTTTCAGTGACGGTAGTGGATCCTTGGCCGCCGGTGTGCGTCTTTGATGAAGACATCGCGATTAAGGATTATATGTACTGGTATGTAATGCGTTCTGCGATATTCGTGAAGATTGCTAACTTTTGAGGGGTATTTCGTCTGTTGTACAGTCGTTATACTAATACAAAATGCGGCCGTAATTCGATAAAGGAAGGGACGTGTTTTTTTTTTCCGGAGTTCCCTCTAAGATACCCTTTCATTTAGTAGGGTGCACAGGGCGCGGGGGAGGAGTGAATGCCCGAGCTTGGAGTTGTTTGTTATGATTGACCAGAGTCGGGGTAGAATAGTGTACGGGGAGAGTGTGCAATAGGGGTGCTCACGGGTGAAACAACCGGAGGCGAAAGCGCTATTAGGGGGTACGGTGGGGGATGCTGGCAAGGGTATGTTATGCTATACGGTAGCTGGGAGGAAACTCGTTTACCTTCGTTAAGTGTCGTAAGAATGAAGATGGGGATGAAATTTCAAGCGACGAAGAGATGGCTGGATAGGCGGGCAGATAGGGGACAAGATGGATAGGATTCTCCCAGAAAATGCAGCGAGAGGAAATGGGTGAGATGGATGACGAAGGAAGTGATGAAGGGCGGATGGGTGTGATGATAGGTTGAGACTTTGGTTTCCCGGCTGGTAGGCCTAAAAGGGGGGCTTCGTGAATTGGAATGGGACGATGATGATTCTTTGAGGCAAGATTTGGACGCTCAAAGGTGAAATGGGCAAGGGGGAAAGGGGAAGGGTAGAACTCGGCCTCAACTCAATTCACCCCGGAGGACTACACGGGGAGAAGCGGCGACTGTGCATGCGCGATGTGATGTGGCCGCGGATCTCTCTCACACCCAAGCTAGTGTACGAGTAGAGTTGGGTATGGCAGTGCAGCGGGATTGGTAGAGAGAGCCGGTAGTGTACGAGTACGGTACTCGTACTGCACCAGTACTGTAGAGTACGGTACGTGGGCGTGGTTGCCAGGATGAGGGATATGGAATACCGGTATCAGCCAAAAGCGGACCATGCAGACGCAGAAGCACAAGCAGCGCCAATCCACCCACGGGCTGCACGCACTCCGGAGTTGCTCGAGTACCGGTGGTGTAGCAAGAAATAGGGGGGGGATAAAGGCGGAGAGGGAGGAGAGCGTGAGGGTGGGTGGGCGTGGTCAGTTGTGGTGATCGATGCACAAAAACCAAGGAGGGATACCGGTAGCTAACAAGTTTTCTAGGGCCGGTACCGTATAGCAGTCTACTCGTAGAGTCGTACTCGCACGGTACGGACTAAGAGTACATGTACTCATACCGTATGCCCACCACTCCCTTATTATTACTCCCCTCCTTTGCACTTGTAGGGCGCCCGGAGTGGAAAGGATAATGACATGATGATTTCCCTCACTCCCATCACTCGATTCTCATTTCCATCATCCGATCATGCATACCGATAGTGTGCAAAGTGTGGTGCTTATCGGCAGATCCGACCGCAATTTCGTGCCCATGCTCGAGCACCGGTGTGAGTACGACGAGTACGAGTAGGTCGTTGAGTGTAGACTACCTTGGGCATGGGCCACGCATACTCAAGCACACATGCAATTCGTTCGCCTCCCAATTCATTCATTCTCGCTCCGCTCTTAGTCTGAGCACAGCTCCGCGACGACACCACGGGCAAGTGAACCTCAGGCAATTCCGACGCTATCGAGCGATTGGCCCGTCGATCCTCCCTCCGTTACCCCCCCAACAGCGACACAACAAACGGGGCGTGTTTTGTTTGGCCCGCAACCCCCCTTCTGTTGCCTTTCCCGGTTGCGTGCATACAGGTGCAGGGATATTGCAGGGATGTATCTGGTTCTCGCCAACCGGGTCAGCCAACTTGACACACCCTTTCAGCTCTTGATTCCCGCCCCGCCAGACCTGAAAAAAAGGAAGCGCGTGGAAGGGATCGGTGATTCCGGGATCTGGGTGAATCGCCCTTCGAGGGAGGAGAATTCACGAGTACCGGTAGTCTACTCGTCCGGTGTGTGGTCGATGGCCATGCCAAAAAATGGTTCCCCCACCATGGCCCCTCCGGTCGGAGAATGCACCATGCTACGCCAGCCAAAGAAGAATTGAAGCCGCGATCTGCATCCTGTCTTCCCGTAGTCTACAGAGTACCGTATCATTATACTCGTAAACGTGATTAGCGAGGTTATTTTGTGGATTTAGCCAGCTTTGCCGTACGAGAGTACCTCACTACTCTGCACGAGTACCGTACCGCTACAGTACCATCGCCCTCGGCTATCAAGCAACACGTATCCCCCAACGCCAATCCACGGCCAACGCACGACGAATCATTCATGATTATGCGCCTCGAGAGGGAAATAACGAGTGAGACTAGGTGATCTTTCTGGGTACCGGTATCGTGAAGTGTCGAGTTGGTGGTGTGTGTAGCGCATGCGGGGGCGCACGAGACCATTGCACGAGTTGATTTGATATTAAATGCGGGGTGGCGGGATGCTCGGAATGTCGATTGAACTAGGGGTTGATGCGATTATCCTGAGGCCACGAGACCATACGAGCATTGATATCGGGAGAACGCGAGTCTGTCTGTGGGTGGGAAAGCCCCAATGGATGGATTCGTCTTGCCCATCAAAGACAATACCCATGGTGTAGGGTACGGTACGTGCAACACCATACCCATGCGCTGCACGCACAATTGATGAGTATTGGTGCTGGAGGATGAAAACGGGGGATATTTTCCTGTGGGGTACATTTATGTGATACTACGAGCGCTGACGGTACCGTAGTAGATCGTGGATGGGAATTGAGGGATGGTGACCTCAGGAGAGAACCGATATCTTCAGTGGCTTTTTGGTGCTCGGGCGCGATGTGAGGACGTCATACTCGCACAGTAGTCTACCAAAGACCGCGCTGGAGACGTCAACGGCTGGGGTGCCGGTATATGGTCATGTTAAAGTGCTAGATTTCTAAAACTAGTCGTCCCAGATACCGTGGCGACTCTGCGGCTACAAATATGATACCGGTACAAGTACATGGTGACTTTTGACCGGAAACCTGAGAGTTTCGTTCCACTGAGTGGAGCAATACCGGTAGTGGGGTCTCTCATACTGCTGGCCGCGGTACACAGGCTTGCTTTGTGGGAAATGTTCGGATTGTCCCCAACCTCCTGGTACGAGTACTACCGTGTCACACCGGTCCCTCTCTCGAGCCCCGATAAAAGTACCACCCTCAGGCCTCGAGTTTAAATTTTCTCCGAAATCCGTGATTATAGGCAGGGTTAGGGATCTGATCTCGTGGAGCCTCTGCTCGCTCCCGGTTGGAGTTATCCGCTAAGCCGGGTTTGAATGGCGTCGCCGCCGGGGTCCCGATCGGACCCGGATCCGCATTTTTCAGCCCTATGATACCGTTTCTCCCGATATCACCGATAGGGGCTAGTGTGCGCCGTCCCGGTATGGGAGGGCATTTTTAAAAGTATTTCGCGGGTCGCCACTCTCGTACGAGTAAAGGTGTAGGGTAAGTTCCTCCCACCACTCTTCAGTGTGATAAAATGCCAGCATGCCGGGGGTCAATGATTTTCGAACGTGAGGTCGCTCGGAACGGGGGTCAAACCTTGTTCCCAAATTTCCGGTTATTGCCTACCGTATTCGATTCGGGGAAAGGGGCTGATAGACTGGGATGCCCCGTGGTCCTGAACGGACAGGACAATCAACAATAAACGAGTGTCGCACGAACGCCCTGGGCTGTCTTGCGCCGGAGCTGGCGCGGACTTCTGAAACAGTGTTCGCTCTCCCGTCTCCTCCCTTTCGCCGGCGGCTATGGTGAGCACTCTGGAAGTTCAGACTTGGCGTATAATCTGTTTGCCAAATTCTCCGAGTAGACAATGGCCTTATGCGACGTGTGATGGCGGGAAAGTCGATGGCCCCCATAAGCTTTAGTGCTAGGGGAAAACTTTATGCATGAGACGGTGCGATAGTGTAGAGACAAATAGCTCATCACTTCGACCATGAGTTGGCCAGGAATTGTCTGCTGGATACGGTAGCCCGGGGGTATTATTAAAGATGGGCAGAATTCATAGGGAACTCAGATATCGAGTGATACTTTATGATGGCCTCAGCACTATGCCTCGGTTGTAGGTGAGTCGACCGGTGCGTGCATCATGGAAGTAGAGAATAGAGACAAAGGTACCCCCCTGCTAGTCGCTGATATAACGCCAAGCTTGCAGTGTTTTCCGGGAATGAGTCGGGGCTGTATCTTGAGCGTTGGGAATTGAAACCGGGGGGAGTAAACTATCACATAAGCTACGGTAGCAATGAGAACGCGTATGATACATTATTGTGGACACGACTGTAATCATTACACGGCATAAATTTTTCACAGAGACGGAGGGGGGATGGGGGTAAGTAGTACCGCATGAAGAGTAATGCATGAAATAGGGCCGTGGGTGAGTGTATGTGTGCGCGGGGGGGGGGGTAGCTAAGGGAACACGTTTTATCATACCTACCTTCGATGGCGGGCTTTTTGCTCTTTGGTTGGGAATCAGTCCTGTAGTCCTTCTGTTTGCTCTTCGGTGGCTTGTTCAAGTTTTTGGAGAGGGTGAGGTGTGTTAGAGTAGTATCGGGGCTAGGTTGTAGTATTTTTTGGGTTGGTGTTACCCTTGGGTGAGAAATGAACTGTCGACTTCTATCACACGGGTATATCGCTGGTTACCGCCACAATTCATTCTTCCTGCTATCCATGTTGCGCCGGATACCACTTTTAATAATATATGTTCGTACAGGTCTACTCGATTGATTAGACTTGACAAAGTTCCCCATAAAGGGAAAAAAAAAAGACCGGCGCCACCCCCCTCCCCATATCTTGGGCTCTATATTGATATCCTATCTATCGCTCTCCCCGTCTAGAACTGCGAACTCCTCTGCAAGAGCATGGTGGTAACTCTCCTCCGTAGGTTCCCACCCCAACTTCCTCGCCCTCTTCGCAACACACCTGGCATTCACCCCACATAAGATGGTAAAAATCCGGCCAATATCACCCGCCTCTGCAAGGCTAATCTTCCTAACGGGACCGAGCCCCAGGGCCTTGGAGGAGGCCTCCGCGATCTCCGCGGCACTGGCCTCACCGCTTTCGGCAAAGTAGTAGCCCTCGCCCTTCCACTGGGCGGCACCGCCATCGGGCTTGAATCCCTCGGACACGAGGAGGAGGTACAGCTTCGCTAGATCGTTATTGTGAATGTATGACTGTTTGGGAGCTCCGCTGTTGATTTGGAAAGGGCCGGCTTTCTTGAAGCCGTCTCTCAAGGCTGCTGTACCCCTTCCGCTCTTTTTGATGCCCTTGCTAAGGCCCATAACCCTGGGAGGGCAGATGATTGCCGTGCGGACATTCTCGGGGGCCTCAAGGATTATCTGCGTTTCTATCCGTTAGGGGTTTCATCTTGTGGTAGAGTATCCTGGGGAGTTAAAGAAGCATGGCTGATTTGTTACCTTGTCTACTGGACGGTGCCAATGGGTATCAGGCAATGACGTCAGCTCATCAACATCCGCAATGTCATCCCACACACGCGGGCTGAGGTGGTCTCCATTTGGCTTGTCCATAATGATGGTCAGGCCACTGGTGTGCAACATCAATCCACCCTGCGGACGTTTGGACACTCCGGCGATCAAGGCCTTTGCGGATGCGGCGTGGTCTGCGTCCGCTGTGTGGATAACGACGTCCGCCTTCTCCGACTCGGTTTCGAGAACAGTTATTGAGTCCAGGTCTCCCATTGCGATGCGAATGGTCGGATACTTTTTTCTGAGCACCGCAGCTGAGGTTTCGGCGCGGGCGAGGGCTGTTATGACATATGTGGGGTGTTTTGCGACTAGTTCATCGAGGATGTTCCCGCCAATGTAACCCGTCGCACCAGTGCTATTGCTTGTTAGAGATATTAGGGAGGCAGAAGTGGGAACTCATACATGAAGATGTGCACCATTTTGGTAGGGGTTGAAGATATGTAGTATTTTTTTGCTGCTCAATTGTAGATGGTTTGTTGGATGCGATATTGAGATTCTTTTAGACCCAGGTCCTTATCCGTCACCACGATATTCGGTAAGGAGGTTGATTGACAATTCCGCAAGAACTGGAATTCCAGGGGTTGTGTATCCTTTATCCACGATAAGGTGCCGGTAAGTTAGCCTCCAGCAACGCAACTACAGTACTGCATACCGACAAGGGTAATAATCAGGGGTTTTATCCTGATCCAGTGCTCGCGGGATAATCGAAGGGAACTATTCCCGAATTGACCCCGTTCAAATAATCGGGAAATCTCTCTACCATGTCCGGGAGTTAATTGACTATCTTGCTTGACTTCGGGATACTCGTATACCGGCAGTACTAGTACTTGCACTTGGACCCTACGTTATAATATATCGCAAGGCCCATGTGGGATTGAGTTGTGCCCTGAAAAAGTGGCTAGTTGGCGGCTGGAGTTGTGAAGCTGTGGGTTATTACGGTAGGCGGCCTTGAATTCCCATCGGCGCGCTAGAGGCAATAACGTACCAGTATGCTGAAATTGGGGCCAACGACACCGTGGGAACAGGCGGAGGGATGGGATTTATATCGGCAGTTGATGGTGTTGGGTGTTCTTGAGGTCGGATTGTGAGGGCTCCCCGGGGATCGCGTTCTTTTGCGGGTCATGGGAAGGTTGAAACACGGCTCCTTGTCCTCACTATATAGGAAGGTTTCTGTGACTTTGGTTCGGACTTGCTGGCGGGGGTGATTCCAGTGTAAGGAAGCGGCCGAATTAAGTCACCAAGTACCTTGGAAAAGGAAGCTAGAATGATGGTAGTAAATTGAAGCAAAGGAAGGAAAGTCAGAAATATCCCTGCCGCTCCTAACTTAGCACCTCTGTGATCCCCCGATGGTGTTTAATTGATCCTAAGACCCGGGTGGTTGATCTTAGAAGGATGGTCTTCCCGTACCGTCCTCGGCCCTGTTGTGTGCCCCTATTTTCCTCCACGCTGCTGAAAAGGTTGGATAAATGTTAGCTCACCTTGATGTTTCATGTAAGCTCGACACACACAGAAATGGTTAACTTACCATTACCGATACTTTACCTTACTTTGCCTCACTCTACAATACTTTTTTTTAACGGAGGTTAAGAGGTCCGTAACTTGACTAAAGCACCGTGTAACCAAACGCTACTAGTACTAGAACACAGAAATAATGTACAAAGCCAAAACAACATTTTAAAAAATCAAAATAAAATCCTAAAATATGATAGTGTGCCTTGAGAACAAGTATCTACTTTTTTTTTAGCAAAAATCTCTTAAGCCTGATCTCTTGTTAATATGGACAGAATTTTTCCAGTGTTGGTAGAATCCCGATTAACTTTGATACTTTCCCTTCACTTACTATGGTGTAGGTATCAAAGATACTACCTAAAATACATGAATACTATTGGGTGACACCATAAAGTGACCCAATGCAACTTCCCGCGTTTACTCATTATCTATAGTAAGATCCTAATGGGGATTAAAGGGCATTGCAACTCCGGGTTTAAGAGAAAAAAATGGGAGCGGGACTCTAAAGGTCAATAGCTGCTCAGTTTTAGTAGGTTTGCTTGCCTGCATGCCTTTCGGTCGGTCTCCAGGAACGCTGGTGCCACACCATCACACCCTCTCTATTGCGGGGATCCTGCCAGGGCTTTAGACCCTTTGAATTTAGGCCGCTCCTGAGGCTTGCTGAAGTCAATTGACCTACCGGTATGGCGCTGGGGACTTCCTAGGTTACAAGAGGCCGGGATAACCGAACTCCACCGTCAGGTCAAAGTTTTAGGGCTTGTTTGGCAACGACCGTTCCGTTCCGTTCGCCCATACAAATTGCCTTATGGTTCCGTTCGCGAACGGCCATTTTGTACGTGCGAACGGAACGGAACCGCCATTGCCAAACAGGCCCTTAGCAGGAGGTGAAATTCCCAGCCCTTTTACCTTGCAGTCTCAGGTTGTTTTTCTCCCTCGTTCGGTTTTTGGGTCCCGACGCTGTCAGTGACTGAGTATGGCGCTTTTGTTAGAATCGTTGCTTTCAGCCCCGCCGTAGCTGTAGGTAAGGCCTTGGTTTAGCACATTCAAACTCTTTCCTTTCCCCAATGCCTGCAGGTACCAGGAACAATGTAACTGGTTGATATTGGTAATCACCGCCACAGACACTGGCAGTGTTGCCATTCTCGTTTGTCTTCGTGATTGTTTCTCTTTTTGGTTTGAGCACGAGACAAATGACAAGCCCTAGTTTAAAAGACGCGAGATTGGAAATTTCTTAGCCGGTGATCACTGACAAACCCTCAAGGAAAGCGCGAGGATTAGTGTTAGATTATCAATCGATTGAAGCTCCGGGAGTCGCGGACTCCGACGATTGGCGAAACAACCATCAGACGTGGCCAATCCCCGGTTTGTTTAAGCCCACAAGCGATATTCTGTATTAGCCTAGTGGGAATTGTTGAATGCAGAGCTCTTCCCGCAGCCCTCACTCCCAGGTGCGGAGTCCGTTATGTGAGATGGAATTCGGATTCGCCGAAATCCGAGTGATTTTATGTGATCCACACTCATGGCCTCAGAAAGCCAGCTACAGTAACCAGTTCCCAGATGGATGCCTTCCATAAACCCCTGGTGGAATTTGGAGCCTTCTAGCCCTTCCACAGCCCACCTCCGCCCCCGCCCTCACGATTCTCGCTTGCAAACCTTGAATACTGACCGGAGCGTTCAAGACTCAGTGGGTTACACTTAGCTCACCCGGCCTTTAATATCCCACTACGTACTTTAGCCAAACAGCCAAGAGCCCCCTCCCCCACTATCTCCAAGAAATAGATATAGCAAGATCACGCACACACGTTCACAGAGCTAACCTCTGTTTAAAAGCTCCCGAGTACGGCTTTGAATACTTTGAGCTTCCGGTTCTCTCGAGCGCTCGGTAGTAGGTAGTACTTTCTTAAAGTAGGTGTTATGGGGGGGTGATAGAACAAGGTACCTTCTGAAGTTGACCTATTTACCCCAAAAACGGTAGCGCTCATGATAAGTGTTTTTTTCCGAGAACGGGCCAGGGAGGCAAAGTGGTAGGAATTGATGCAGAGTTTAGCGTGTTAAAAAAGAAAAGTCCGAGAGGGCTGTTGTGTTAGCGACTTTAGAAGGGACTGGGCCGGGGTCACAGGTGGATGGGGGAGTAAATTAGTGACTCGAGGGTTGACCTATTGTTCGGATCGGTTCGTCTCCTTAGAGTGGTTCTTGGAATCTATTTCTTTCTATTATTTTTCTTCCCTTTTTTCGCGGTTGCATCGGGAATGCCCCCCCTTTTTTCCCTTCCATATCGCGAATCCTATCCTCAATAGAGAGTCTATCTATCTACAAGTATCATTCATAAAAGAAATATAAGCAAGAAGGGAGAAGAAAGAAGTGAAGGAGAGATTGGGTTTGCGCAGGAAGGAGAATCTACCTCTGGGCATTTATGGGGTATGATATATATAGGCAAAGCGAAGTGAGAAGTATGATATGAATGTCACTATAATATCACAACCTTGGGGGGGGTTCTTAGGTCTTGGCTTTAGGACATACGGAAGGAAGGGAAAGGTTGAACGGGAATGTCCGCGGGGGGTAGGGTAGTCCCTGGGAGGTTGGGATGGGCTCAGGGGAGGGGGAGAGGACTGCAGGGGGACTGGTGGTCGCGGATTTACGGGCGTGCGGTAGGGTCACCACGCCTACATGTCCATTTCAGCAGCATGCCGTATCGGTGTTTGACTTTCGTTACCGGTATCTGGCTTGTCGGTTGGCGTCTGCCTGCCCGAGGGTGGCTTCAATACCGGTACCCCTCCGTGTTGAAACACCGTCATACCCCAATAATCTTTTCTGCACGCAAGACATTTCGTTTTGTGATACTTGTAGAATGGTACGTTTTTTTTTTGTTTCGAGCGAGATTAGGTTATTTGTCTCTTTATTACTAGTACACTAGGGGTGATTTCCCATGGGTTTAATTCTTTAGCGGAGGCTTGAAATATAAGATCTAGGGTATTGAGACTGCGTTCCTTCAATATCCCAGTCTATTGACGCAGTGTATCGAAAGGTTCATTTTGTAACCCCCCCCCCCCCCCGAAGTAGCATGCGGGAGCGTCGGGATCAACATCCCCCGCTCTAGGAGTAATTTCGCCACTCTCTCGTGCCTACTGCGAGCTGCTGTAAAAAGCAGTGTTCAGCCCCTATGGTCTGGCCTGTCGGGGTCGATACCTTCAGGTTCTAGTATATTTCCATTGTATAGTAGGATCGTTCCCTCCTCAGCAGCTTCTGCAGTCTCGTTGATTGATATCACACCAATCCCTCTCCACTTGGGCCGTGATCAGCTCTACAATTCTGAAGCGGGATGCACCGCGTATTCCAGTGAACGCAGAGGGATGTCAGTACAGCCGACGCGGCCGGAGCCTGTCCCTTCCTCTGCAAGCCATTTGTGGGTATGTGTCTATCGCGCTGGCCCAGCTCGATATTCGAGGCGCAAATTTTTCGCGTTGTTCAGGAGCTCCCTTTTTCCATGTCTTGAAGAATACCGGTATGTGAGGAAGGGTGTGTTTTCGAGATTAAGTGGGCATTAGCCGAAGGGTTCTTGTCCCGTTGTGAATTCAGATGGGTCGGACAAGTTTCCGCGACCACCGAGTGAGGTTGGGATGTGCTGACTGATAAATTTACTCTTGAAGGGTGCACCCCCCGCTCAGTCTCTGTGAGAGGAGTACCGGTACCGTATTGTCACCACGGTGCTGGGCGTCTGAAATGGATCCTCGCCATGACCAAATCAAATAACGAAGTTTTCGGAAAAAACTCTGTCTGGGGCTGCATAAATCAGCTCCTCTTAACTCAACTCCTACCTTTTGATAAAGTGGGTATTGGCTGAGGGTAGTGCGAGGTGCGTTTTGGAGGAAAGTGAACGCGGATAAATTTATGCGAAGGTGTTACCAACACG